TGCCTGATGCCCGTTTGCGGGATTTGAAGACCCCACTGGGGAAATATCAATTTGCAGCAGGATTGATCGGCGAATTACCTGAGGAGGTGGATTGGAAATGGTGGAGAGGATTTTGCCTGGGCGCAGACCGACGTCGTGTCAGCCAGGCCCCTTTATCTCGGTCAATGGTTTGACCGACGACATTCTCCAATCAAGACCTTGATCGAGTGAGTTTGTTCCGACGACCAGTTCCCTTGATGTCAGTCTGCCAGCCTGTCTGTTTGTCAGTCGTCTAGAGGGTGCTGCCTGTTTGTCAGTCCGGACGTCGTTCTCTTTCTCTGCAAATTGAAATATCCGGCAGTTTATTTTTTTTTCTCCTGCGTGATCTCGGAATTTTTCGCCCTGCTAATTGTGTTGGTGTTCTAAGGAAAATCCGGAAAGGATTTGATCAAAGGTTATTTTATTTTTGATTAGGTTGCTGCGTGCGGTAAAAAGGAAATCATTGGTTGATTTTGTTGTTGATCGTTGCTAGCAATCTCCCTGAGCACCTACTGACACTAAGCACTATTCTCCCATCTGTCTTAACCCTTCTCTTAAAACTGAGTAAACAGTACAGTCTGATTCCGATTAGTTTGTTGTTCTGTGTGTGAACTCTAATCCGAATTTTTATTTTATTTTGGGAAAATAATACATTTGGGTATGGCTGACGGTGCAGGCTCTTGCGGTCCTGGGGGGGACAGAGGCAAAGGTCCCGTTATCCCCAAAACCGCCATTGAGCTGGCGATTGAGAAGGAGGAAGCGGCTGCAGAAGAAAGCCGCAAGAGAATTCAGAGATTGAAGAGAGAAAAGGCTGAGGGAGATAAAAAGTCTCAGGCAGAAGCCAGACGGGCAGTGCTGGCAGAGCATTTCTTGTCCGCTGAATCTGATGACATATTCAACGACACCAACAAGAAACTGGCTGAGTGGATCCGCTTGGAGTTCACGTCAATCAGGGATGCTCTCACTGCCTGGATGGACCGAGCTGCTGCATTAAAAGACCGCTTGACTACAGTAGAAGCCAAGCAGTCTTCTATTGTAGAGTCACTGGATCGAATCGACCAACGTCTCACTACATCTCTTACCTCTCCCCCTGTTCACTCAGTCAAACCCGAACTCAAACCGGTCTCTACTACGCCTACAACACCACACTCTTCGCCCAAAGGGAAACCTGCTTCCCCAAAGCAGCAAATTGTCCCTGAGGACCTGAAACTTGGCGCTGGCAGTTCAAGCCAGCAGGAGCAGCGTTTCCCCAAGATGATGCAATCTAACAAATTCACTGGCGACGACGCCAAAGTGGATGTGTCAGATTGGATCGCTTCAATGAAGTCTTATCTGAGGCGATTCACCTGCCCAGAGGTCAACAAGGTGCAGTCCACTGTGGCCCTATTAGCTGGGTCAGCATTGAAGTGGGCGACCTCTGAGGCCACCAAGTCTCAGCAACAGTTATCGGATTGGGCTGTTGCACTGGGTTTAGAGGCCATCTTCCAGGGCCTGGAGGCGAGGTTTGCAGATAAGGAAAAGGCCCGCAAGGCTGCAGACGAGCTGGTTAGTCTTGGCCAGACAAAGTACAGGGGTTCCCTGGCCAAGCTCTATGCAGAATTCGAGCGTCTTACCTCTACTCCCGGTTTGGAGATGTCTGACAGGGACCAACTGACTTGGTTCATCAGGGCAGTTCTTGAGAAATATACCACGGCCCTGTATTTTGCCGGACACAAAGACTGGCGATCTTTTGGCAGAGCAGCCTTGGACATGGAGGCCACACTCCATGTCCAGTCCACTCCCCAGAAGGGAGGCAACCCCTCTTCCCAGAGTAGGAGGAAGGGAAAGGGGAATTTGTATGCCATGGAGTCTGATGATGACTCTGCAGGCACTAGCCAGGGAGGATCTACTCCCCCAGCTGGCCAGGGTGCAGGAACATCAGCAGACCAGGCTGCTCAGGTGCTGGCCCAGGCACTGCTAGCCCTCACAGGAGGCAAGCAGTTCCAGGGACAAAAGTCCTCCAGTCCTAAGGGGTCAGGCAAACGCCCCGGTGGTCCGCAACAGCAGAACCTCCCGAAGTTTGCCAAGTGCCCCGCCAATCCCTTGGACATTTCCTCTGCTCCTTGGAGGGATCTAAGAATCCCAGAGGGCGTATGGCAAAAGAGGAAGGAAAAAGGGGTCTGTTTGAGGTGCGATTGCCCTAGGCTGAACCACAGCAACTGCAACCACTCAAAAAACTGAGCAGGCCAGCAGAGGCTGCAGCCAGCCCTGTTGAACTGTATTCATCTCCTTCAGGACATGAATCAGCTGCCGCGCCGGATTTTTCTGAGGCTGCGAGGGACTCAATCTACTCTTATATTGAGCCCTATCTTGATGAGCCCTCATCTGAGGAGGAGCTTGATCAGCTCTGTTCCCTTCATCTCCAGTTAAAGGAGAAGAGGAAGAAGAAATCAGAACTGATCATGCTCAAGCCTCAAATTAACAGAACCAGGATCAAAGCCTTGCTTGACTGTGGGGCTACAAGGAACTTCATTTCTCAGAATGGAGTTCAGAAACTTCATTTGGGTCTCAAGGTTACTGACCTTGAGCATCCTTTGGAGATACAGATAGGGAATTCCCAATCTGTCTCAGTCAAGCAAGTCATCAAAGGAGTGCCAGACACCTTTGATGACAAAGGGGAAATCAGACATTCCCTGAATTTCTATGTTTTTCCCCATCTTCCCTTTGATCTAGTCTTCAGCCTAAAGTGGTTAAGGGCTACTAACCCTTCAATTGACTGGGCTCTGCCCAGTATTCAATTGAAGAACTCCCAGGGTGAGGTAAGACAATGTGTCTTAGCTACTGACCATCATCCTAAGACAAGTTGTTACTGCCTGAAAGCCAGGGAGTTTTACAACTTGTCTAAGGAAACTGACCATGAGGATCTGTTTGTGGCTTATGTCACTCAAACAGATTCAGATTCCTCCCCTTCTCAGATTGATCTTTCCATTCAACAGGTGGTTGATGAGTTTTTTGATTTGGCTCAGGAGCCTACTGGACTAGTCCATAGGCAGACCAAGCACCATATTCAGATTCTGCCTGACTCTACCCCTCCCAAAGGAAGAGTCTATAGGATGTCACTTGCTGAACTGGATGAGTTGAGGAAACAGTTGGAGTCCTTGACAGAGAAGGGATGGATCAGGCCCAGCTCATCTGAGTATGGGGCACCGGTTCTCTTTGTTCCAAAGG